ACTGCGTAACAATTATTTATCATTAAAGAAAAAGCCAAAAAACAATTTGTCAAAATTTAGTATTCCCTAAAGATTAGCATAAATTATTTATCAAAAACAGCAACCAGACATTGAATAATTGTTAGACTAATGAAACAAATACAAAGCTTAAAAAAATTCTTCTCGTGAGTTCGTGTATGTATGTTTTCCATTAAGGGATATATGCTCAACTGTAGGATGTTTAACGTACAACCCCTATTGAGCAGGAGATGACAACTTTGAAAATCTAACAGTAAAATTCATATAAACAAATAACATTGAGAAATGGTTCCATAAATACATAACCTAATGTATTCTTTACATAAAAGTAAACGATAGGGTGTTCAATAGTAAAACAACGATTAAGACATGTAGTAAATCGAAAGTGATCACGGTTTGTAAAGTCTTCGAAATACTGATGTAATAAGTTATTCAATAGTTCTTCGACTCATTTCAGTCTTGAGTACTGTTAGAGGTATTAGGGCGGTTATCACTTCCCGGTTGCCCACACCGTGGAAGGGTTCTTTTGGAGGTACTTGAAAAAGAAATTGAGTAAGAGGTGATCTTAGTAACCTGAGAGCGTGACCGCAGTGCCCATGGAACAACTGATTGAGGCCGGGCACACATGATCCTTTTGTGAGTAATCTTCATGTTAGCTCCGTACTTGTTAGCACCTCACCACTGGAGACGGGAATCCGTGGGATAAGGCGGGGTGCAATTTTACGGTGGATCTCTTCTAACTCCACTCTTCCTTGTGCGAAAGCAACATCGCTGTTATACTGCTTGTCTGAAAGAAACACCTTACTGCCGTCACACCTCTGTACAGCCAACAGTACGACGTCACCCTCGGACATTGAGTTTGTTGCTTTTAGTCTTACTTACCTGGCATGGTAAACCTTGAGGGACGGTTGTTCCAGCCAGTATAGCCTGACTAATTCATCACGATAGGCAAGCCCGACCACCACGTCCATGTAGTAGCAACTCATTTCAATTTAATGCGAAGAGTCCTCAAGATAACTGATTTGATGCATACTAACAAAGTGAACATTTGATTGAATCAGTTTTACGGGTTATGTTATAAACTTTGTATGACTAACAATAAACAAAACAAATTACCATATTTAGCTATAAGATTAATTCACCTGAATAATTTCTCTTACGAATTACACTACAACAAACAAATAAAATCAACAATTTATTTAAAAACCGGCGGCCTGCTTGAATATCTGGGCTACCTGTTCCTTCGATCTATATATTTCTTCAAGTTATCTGTTTTGTTGTTCGTTTTAGCATATCAATATGTCTATTGTGCTCACAATCTATTCGGGCGCGTTTATGAAAAGTTTACAACCTTTCGCTATACGGGATACAGAAAGGTACAATCAGCGACATCATGGTGGCTGGCAATATGCATTGAAACGAATGAACATTAATCAAATGCGGATTACCGAATTCCTAACATCTAACTGGTCATCATTCGAAATTTATCGTCACAATCGATCAAGATATAAGAAAAAGAAACTTGTTGAAATACTTTATGCTGAGAATTCTATGTTGTACGAAAAGTATAATGTTGAATAAAGCTTCTTATAATAAAAAAAAATTTCCTTTTACATAATAAGCCAATCGTGCAGAAATAAAGCTATCTGTATTATAAAAACAATACCTTTTTTTCAAAAAAGAATATTAGGATAGGCTAAATGATTGACATGAGCATGATACTATCAAACTGTTTTGTTTTCCTTCACCAATAGATAAAACATACAAATAAAAAAGTTCTATTATTAAAGAATGAACTAATAATTTCAATGATTTGGAAGTAAACGAACAAAGTGGAAAGGAAAAACAGAAATTCAACGAGTTTTTTTTAACATAAACTTTTCAATTTTTTGCAGATGTGTTAAACAAAAGAGAACCAGTAAAAAAGTTGAAAAGATGATCCATAAATGAATAGTCTGTGTTCAAACACAATTCTATGTTTAGGATAGTTAGTTTGTGAATATTATGTAGTCTTAAGATATTTGTTACAACATTGAATACTGTTGGATGCATTATTGAAAACCAGGAATCCTTGGATAGCTGTTTCGTACTATTGTGAAGCTCCATAACTAATTCATAGTGTGAAACTACCTTTAAACTGAACAATTTTAGTACACTCCCCATCCTGATAAAAATCATTAACTTACTAGTTACTGGCTTCGTTAATAATTTTTGAAGTGGTAGTTAGGAAGTTTCGACCAGTAGAGTTTAAGCACTCCCAGAGTAAGACATTTATTACTGATCCCAATTAATGAGGGTCACTCAATATTTAATTTATAAACTTGAACCACTGAGTTGTCACTCAGTGGTTTGAGGGTATCTAGATCCGAGCAAGGCTTGATAACCTTATACTCAGTCCACGACCGAATTGCGAGTGCGCACTCCTAAAGATGTTCTTACGAGGATGAAATGGTTATTTAATGACCAATGACTCTCTTACTTATGTCAGTTCACGATGATTCCATAGCTTGCAAAATTTGAAAATACAGTTTTGAACATGCAACAAAATTAAGCTCTTCGAAAACTTAATGAAACGTCTGTCTTCATATTCTAATAAAAGTGATGGGATGATGCGTGTATTTGCACGAAATCTAAAAAACATTATATTAATTTCTGGTCAATTTATTCATACGCTTTTTCAGATTTTACGCGTTTTGGCAGAGGAGTTCATCGTTACTATGGTGTTTGAAAAAAATGAAAATTATCCAAAACTGAACCGCATTAATGTCAGTCATTAGTAAAAATGAAGCAATTAAAGATATAGAAGAATATCAAATACGATTACTATATATACACACAAACTAAAGAACTTTTCCATTTAATCGTTAATATAGTAAAATGGGGATATCTCATCAATTAAGATACACCGAGTTTCAATTTTTTTTAAATAAGTTAAATTCAGATTTAATCTAAGTTAGTTATATACCGTAACTTTAGTGTTAAAAAAACAATATACAATAAGATAATTCGTTGGATCTCAATGTAGAAAAAAAACGGTTACACGAAATATTTTGTATTGAAAAGTCAGTAGAATAAGGAAGCAATTTTTAAAATGGCTTCTTTAAAACTTATAAAGTGAGTACTTTAAATTAAAAACCTAATGATGATAACCCAATTGGGAAAATATCAAATTTTAAAAACAAATTCAATCAATTTAAAATAATTGGTGTATATTCTCGAAAACAATATACGTAAATTCAAAAAATTAGCTTCCATTGACCAATAAATCACTATGAACAAGGAAATAGTGAATTCAGACCATCGGATACAAAGTCTATAGTAAAATGATCGACGAAACTTGTAACTAGACTGGATAGTGTTTTACTTAGAACGATAACGAAAAACTTACAATCAAACGGTCCAGCTCAGAAAATTCAACACTACAATGATTATAAAACATTATACGATGAGTGTTATTTTCATTACGAATTGACGTTAACTGAGAAAATGTTAGAAAATAAGGGTTGTGCAATATCGTGAGTTGTTGGAATTTAGACCTGTACCCCGATGAATGGCGACTTAGTGATCTAGAGGTTAGGCATTCGTGTGAGAGACCTAAGGTCCGGATTCGACCCCTGTATATGGATAGTGGATATGCACTCCTGAGGAGTCACATGTTGATTGGATAGAAATCCAGTTCTTACATGTTTTTTTAATGGCGACGTAGTTAAACTATGAAAATTATATAAATTCCACAAATCCCCACTACATTAATATATAATAAACATTGAGATATTTGATTTACAGTTAACAGTCAAGAGGATATTAAATAATCGTTTGGTAGTAATTAGAGAAAAGCTGAAGACTACTTATAATATTATCACAAAATTAATACATCAGAAATAATAATTCACTCTAAGTGGAATGCGATTCCTACAAATAAGAAGCCATCTAAGACACAAATCAACTAGTTCTTTTGTACAAGGATATGATTGTTGAGACATATCATGAAGTTATTAGCAGTAGTCAGGAATCAGCCTAAATGGAGCATCTTATCAGCCATTATGAAATACGTGTCTTCAGACAGACTGGATATGACTCAAAATGCTTCAATGGTTTAAGTTATTCCAGTCAGTCAATCAGCCACAACGTAGAACCTAGCACGTATGTACATCAGTTCAAAGTTCTATACCCCATTAGTACAGAGAAACAAAATTGTCAGGCGAAATCCCAGAATAGTGGTGGTTGGGCATACCTAACACATGTCCCAGCCATCTCAAATGATGATTTTCTAATTCATCAATTAAATTTCCATCCTTAACTAGTACCCTATTCGTAACACTGGCATTGCTTACTCGATGGTCCAAAAATATATAAGCAACACTTCGAAGACACCTATGGTTGAATTTTAGTAACCTACGAGTATCCTCTATTCTTAGTGGCTATATTTCACAGTCATAAAATAAGACAGGGAAAACTACCGTGTATATAACTCGTCCTTTGGTTGGCAGACGGATATTTCACCAACGCCACATATGAAGCAAGTTGATAAAAGTCAATTGAGCATTTCGAATTCATCCTGAGATTTCGTCAGACGCCAGAACATCAGGACTGATGAGACTCAGAAGATAAATGAAGCCGTCGAAACACTCAGCTACTTCACTCCCTATCATTAATCCAGGGGTTGACTCAAGATCAAACCTGATAATCCATATGAACACTATATGACTGCTTACGTTACTCTGATTATGGTATTTAGCTTTGACTGGATCAGTTCTTACTAACCTCGTAGTGAAAATTACAGAAATGTGTTATCACACCACTCAGTAATAAAAAATGTTGAAGTGAATTACATACTAAACTCGGAAAAAGCCAAATGATTAAATGAATAGCCGAGCAAAAAAGAAAAAAAACATGAATATAAACAAGATAAACACAATTTATCCACAATTGATTATTGAATAAAATGCTAAACATTCATTAACACACACAAAAATACTTACTAAATACCACATCTGAGGCCATTTCGGATCTTTAACTGGAATGTGCACATCTCGTTTAACTCGAACCTTTGCAACTTGTTGTTCTAACCATACTACCTATAGATAACAAAATAATGATAGACATGGAAATAATGAAAGTTAATTAAATGTATAATAAAAGAAGAGTTACTGAACACTACAGCATAACTCAATGACAATAAACAAGTGGATTTCGTAAAGCGGTGCCTCAATTATCGAACTATTTGGCTTGTAACCACTAAAAATACAGATTTAGGCACATCTACGCTTATTTTTGGATTTGATTAAAGACAGGGAAGTATTAATAACTTGTAAAGGCAATATGTAGTTTAGCAGTTGACAAAAACTTCCTGTCAGTTCTTGCAATATATTTTCTTGAGATCAACGGCATAAATCGAAAATTTAAAAAAGGATCAGAACACTCAACAATTATTGACAGAAATATGAAATAATCAGGGATATTAAAAAACGTTTAAAATGTTCTTGGAAAGTGTGAACTTGGATGTATCATCATTACTGGTAATAAAGTAGTGGTTAACTTTAACAACCTACTAATGTATACTACAACTGTAGTGTTGTACACATAAATTGAACACGGAACTTCACTGGTGATACAAATTTAAGATCAAACTATGCTTTCAAATTAGTAACTGTAACACCGTTGAGAGAATCCGATTGAAGTACGTTTAATAAACAGATTGTGAAGATGATTAGCTTTAACTACTCGATGTTACATATAGAGAAAAAGGTAACGTATTTTCTGATTAAAATTCACGTAAGAAATAAACTACTTTAAATATAATTTGGAAAACTAAAATTATAACACATTTTCTAATTTATTTCATGTTATTTATCCCAGCTCCATAATCATGCACAAGATTATATACTTAGACTTAAGTATAGTAACATTATCCAATTGTACAGACCGAGTTATATCCAGAACGTTTGTTAGGATTGACCAATACCAATGTTATTATGACATGTTAGGGTTACCATAATAATTATTACAGTAGCTTATCCCATCTCCATGTTATTATGACCTTCGTGATGTGGTAATTCCTGATTTGAGGATTGGAAACGGATGGATTTCGTAACGGCTGTTGAACAAAGCTGAATATAATATCAATGTTAGCAATCACTGTATTACTGATGTATGCAATTTACAAGAGAGTTTGAACTTGATAACATTTAGTTTGAATTCAAGTGTTTTAACTGCTAGTCTACACTCTTCAATTTGGTAAAATGTAAATGATCATCATAATGAACAATAAGTTTGCTTATAACACATCAATTCATGGTGGTAAATTTTGAATTTTCGACTCATAATTTCTTTCTCTAACTAAATCTATCAAGCTGATAACAAATTTGTTTTAACTGTTCATCTTCGTTACATAATATACCGAAATATAACAAACAAAATATTTTAAACATTCCAGACTATTATACAGTTTTCTTAAAATAGATTTTGGAGAAAGAAAGCTAACAAATTGGATATTTTTAAAAAATTATCGTTACCAGAGGAAAATGCAATTAAAATGAAACATTTACAGAGATAATAAGTGTGATTTTTTGAAGAGTATTTGCTTTTGAATCAAGTGATTTCTAGAAGAGTCAATTTTTAGTGTTAGCAATAACATGAATGATTTAAAATGGTGATCATTTGAACAATGCACTTCACGAGTCAATGAATATTGAAAATATAAATCCAATAGAACTCGATTAATTGATTATAATCCTGATATTGTGAGATTTCAGTTGAACAAGAGTCGAGTCTTCAAAGAACATACTGCTGATAGATTCAAGTGACAAGTGACATAATTAACCAGCAATTATTTCTATTTCGACATTTCTTCAATTACTATAAATTTATGATGGAATTATCTACTAATTTTGACATCAGGAACAATGAACTGATTCACATATTTCAATAAGTTAGTATTTTCAGAATGGGGATCTGGAGGTTGTAGTAATTTCAACAGTGGTATTCATGAGTCGATCCAAGCTAGACCACCATTGAAAACCTGGAAGCAGTAGACAGTCGTTTCGTCGCAGTGTGGAACTCCTCAACAGTGCACGCACATCCACGATCCCACACGCGGGACTCGAACCTAAAATGTACGGTCTCGCGCGCAAACGCTTAAGCTCTAGAATACAATCTCCACCTGTACGTGTATCAAATCCCAGAGTGAACATCAACACTGAGATGCAGATACATCCAAATGACGAATCCCAAATAGGACAAAACGCGCGTCCTGGATTCCACTGCTATCCACTATCCATCTTTACTTATAAAAACAATAATGTATGACTAAAAAAGGTTATATGCACATTTATCAAATTGGGTTATTCTATAATTAAGGCTGAAGGAGTCCTAAACTAGGAAGGAACGGTCATCCAGTGCTTCCAGATTTTCCATGATGGTCTAGCTTCAACTGACTCATGGTCTCAACTATTATAATTAATTACTATGACATTGATATGGAGTATAGATACAAATCGGTAGAAGAACTTCTTTTTAAAAAAGTGTTATATTTCACTGTCATAAATAAAATAAACATTTGAACTTTTAGCCCCATTTCATTTTTCATGTTAATATAGTCAAATCATTCATTTTCTTAGAAAAATAATTGCTTTATTTTAATAAAATTCAGTGAAACAACTGTTCCATCTTTTTATTATTATTATTATGTGAACAACCTTACACTATAAACATCTTTATTGATATATATACATTAGAAATATTTATTTATTACTACCCTACATTATCCTACATAGTATTTATGTTATTGCTTAAAAAGACAACATTCCATTTTTATCGGAACAGATATATTATAAACTGAACGAAGAATATATTTTTTTCCAAATCAATTCTCATTTATAACGGTAGAATCTAATGAGAATGTATTAGAAATAATATTACTCATTTAGTTGAAAAAGTTGAATAGATTTACAAAACATTGAAAGTGAATGTTATGTATATATTGACTATGATATTTCAATATATCGAACGAAGTGTTTATCTAAGTAAACCAATAAATGTGCCACACCTAAAAGGGGCGTTTAAATTAGCTTACTTAAAATAATAATATTAATACTATAAAATAAATAAATAAATGAGTTTCAACAATAATACAAATACAAAATTGTCAACTTAGACTTTGAAAAAATGAATATATATATATATACGCCTATGACTCCCCATCGATAGTCTACTGTAATTATTTAAAAGTAGAAGGAAAAAAGTGAAAATAAACACATACTAAAGTGTATTGAAATAGATCCTAACCAGTTAACATAATATTTATATTTATAATATGAATTACACATACACATACATTCCAGAGAACAAACTTTTCTTCACATTTTGATAACATGACTTTATTTACATCAAATTACTTAGAAAAAATTTACATCACTATCCTTGATATCCCTGGTAAGAGAAACGATAATTACTAGGTTACTATTGTAATTTCAAACAAACGGTCATAAAGAACATACAAATAATCGACATCTAACTTTAGATTTCATCATCCTATGCTACCGAAGCATGAAATTTATTTTGTAGTCTTACTATAGGGACAGACGTTAGTTAAAACGCCATTGACAACCAGGAGGTACTGGACACCTGTTTCGTCCTACTGAGAAATAAATTGAATTAAAAATGCAAACCATTGGATGACAATTCAGCATTTGTAGAGTCAGCGCCCACACAAGGTCTGGAGGTCTTGGAATCGATCTCTAAAGGAGTCGAGGAGACGAACTGCTGAGGAATCCAATACTATAATGAGCCATCTGTCTAATGCATCATGGTTGTTAACGATTATCTAACTAAAGCCAATCTGTCACGTAAAACAACGAAATTCAATTATCTCTACAATCCCTACACTATTAAGTTTATTGGTTTTACAAAAGCTTTCTTTGAATAATATGAAGAAAAGGAAAAATTGATTCTTAACGTAAAAGTCCAGTTTTTTTAACCTTTCAATAATTTAATAGTACATCGAAGTAATAATTATTTTGCCCTCGGTTATTAATGTAGTATTATGAAGAGAAAAAAAGAATATGACCCACAATCATCAGGATTTCATACATATGCAATATGATTGTTTAGTTTATGTTCATTTCGTAGATCTGCAAATTGACATTATAAGAATTAATAACATGAGAAACATGATCACAATATACCCCTTCATATATTTAACATTGAAATAGTAATTAGGAAAACAGTAATAAACAGAAGTACAAGTTTATTTGGCAGACATTAGATAAAGGTTATTTCATAATAGATGCCTATATAAAAGGAAATGTGTTTTTCTGCACAATTTTAGGATACTACAACTAAGAGTAGTCCAAAATTTACATTAAATAAGAAGGTTTAGAATGCAGCCGGTTTGAAGATCGCATTCATTATGGATTAACAGCAACTGGAAAACTATTGAAGGTCGAGAAACATTAAGCAGCTGACTAATCACACCTAAAACCTTCAGTTTTTGTAGTGAACACGATACCACTTGAATAATAACTCGTAATCCAATAGTTTACCTTTTTCAACATTAGATCGTTTGTGACACGACGTAATTCTAACCCAATATTATTGGGAAGAGAATCATTTGAAAACAAATGATATTGAAATTTCAGAGCAAAAATATACTGACTTAATGAGCAAAAAATGTTTACCTCGCTGTAAGAACTTAAGATCAGAAATTTTATCCGCACAAACTAATGTCATATAATCCATAGGAGTCCTATACAAGCATTAAATAACTATCAGCTCTATAATCTTCATTGATTCTCCGGATGATACCAGACAGTCACAAAAAAACAACTACAAAAAGCAGGTACCACTAAACAAAGAGTCCAATTTTGAATACTGAATAATTGGTTGTATCATACCATATTTATTACAAGAGCTTTATATCTAAGGTTATAAATGATAGAATGTTCCAAAACTGAACTGAACACCAACTCAGTGTTAACATTCATTTATAATGATTTTTACCGTTTGGTGAAAAGTTGTAGTGAGATAGTTAACTGTAACTACGTTTAACAGATAAAAGAAAAGTACTCAGAATCCGATT